CAAAAGTGAATAGTTAAATGTGAACATTCGCTTCATCGTAATTTGAAAGGGTTACTTCCAAAGATGAATCGAAAATATTCGATAAATCTCTGATAGTTTTGATCCTGATAGTTTGGCGAAGTAAGAAAACAAGCCACGTGAATTAAATTTAAACCAAATTGAAATTGAGTAGTTTCGACGAAAAAATAGCAACCAAATTACTAATCCGTAAAAAAACAACATTTTATTTATTTTTTTAAACAATTATCAAATATTTTTTCTTCTTTACGTCTGAAATTTTAAACATCGATTCTTTATCATAAAATAACACTAAATTATAAATATCTGCACATAAAAATTTGTATTTTTTTTCTGTGTAATGTCTGGCGAAATGCTAGACAATAGTTCGCAATTTTAATCCAGATACAAATTCGCTAAAATGGTGTAACAGGTGGGCTGAAAAGTTCGTATCGTTTCTAAGAAAGGGCGCCACCATAACAAAATCCATTATGTTTCTGGAAAGTACCATCCTTTCAAGGCATACATACGAAATTTGAGCCATATCCGTCCACTGAGTCATAAATTATAGCACTTGAAAGAACATAACCTCAAATATACCTAAATTCTCAATTTTATGGCTCTATTCGAAAGAGGAGTCGTTATTTTTAAACTATTTTTCAACCCAGGACGCAGATATAAGTCCTCCCAAGCTAAATTCGAAATAACGAATCGATTCGTATCAAAACTCATCAAATGCTGACATCATCTGCATGACTTCCCGAGATGGCTTTTCACTGAAATTCAAGGCTTGAAAGGATGGTACTTTCCAGAAACATAATGGATTTTGTTATGGTGGCGCCCTTTTTTAGAAACGATACGAACTTTTCAGCCCGCCTGTTATTTAAGTCTAGACAATAATTCAAATTTTGCCCAGACCTTAATCCATCCCCCATATAAATACCCTTCTAACTAATATGATTTCAAATCACCATCCAATCTGCCAAATCGACAATTTTCAATATTTTTTCAAACTCTCGAATGTTTTGAGTTCTTAGAGAGTACTCTCACTGGCTTCTCACTGTCTCCGTTCATTTGCATAACTTTCTATCTTGACTTTTAGTACCGAGAATTGGCTGAACCTTCATATAAATACCTCCTTTCGAACTAATGATTTCAAATCACATGCCCCTCTGCCAAATCGACAATTTTCAATA